CTAATCATTTTATTTATCTCATGGGATACTTTTGAAACTGACTGCCATGGTACAGCTTTTCACATACAATAGATGGATTTTGTATTCCAACCAAATGCTGTTTACTTTTTCTTCAGCTCTTTTGATGAATTGGGTTAGACACATTACTGATTCTGAATAGGTTGAGGGCAGAGTTTTCCGGCCAAGAAAATAGCTATTATTTGTACCAGAGGCATTATATGATGAGAAGAAACTGAATCAGAAGGTTGAATCTTGAACGTTGTACAAAAGGGATAGCTGAAGATTTCTGTTTACGTTTTCCATTTGAATCTATTTCTCAGGTACTCAAAAAATCTGGACATAAGAATATTATCCCAGTCCTGGCTAGAAAGATTTATATAATTGGAAAACAAAATAGAAAATAAATTATACAGAAACCTTTATTTATATTCAGAGGTCAGTTTAATATTTTATAGATACATTATCTGTCTGATACCTGAGCTAGTTCTAGAATATTACATGAACCTTTCAGCCAATAATTAAGTTTTTATTCTAATGTTGCTATATTTAAAAATAGTAAAAATCAGCTTTCTGTGGGATTTTGAAAATTGCAAAACATTATGGCCCAATTAAAGATTGCTTCATTATGGACTTAAGGCTTGTGTGCACAGATTTTACTGTCCAGGACACAGAAAAGGAAAATCCCTGACTATACAAATTTTCTGGGTGGATGGTAATCCATCTTTTATTTTAAAACAAGCAGGTAATGCTCTCCATTTAAAATGTTCCACATGTCTAATTCACTTGGAGATCTCAGATAGATAATTTGTAGCCACATTTCGCATGGATCTGTTACTGGAGTGGATAAACATGAGGAGGTGGAGTCTGTCCTTTTGGAGGTGAGATCCAAAAATAAGTCTGTTACATGAAACCTAGAATAGATTTAATATAATTTAAAAACAAAGAAAACTACCTCAGATTCCCACTCCAAACCTGGAAAATGGAAATTCCCAAATTACCCAAATACTGTCACTGACCCTCCTATTTTAATAGCCTCCACTACATCTGACATCTCTAAGACTGTATACCCCAAATTTATATAAGACCAGGCCTTTGCCTGAACAAGTGAAGATTCAAGGAAGGAAAGCAGGGGTGCAGAACCATCCTTCTGGCAGCAAGTCTGCAAGCTTAAACACAAATTTAAGCTTTCCATCTGCTGCAAAAGCCTACTTTACTTTTCTTTAGACCTCTTGCCTGTAAATGCGGAAATTGGAAAGAAGTGGAGGGGAAGTTGGACATCTCCCCTCTTTTAATTTCCTATATGGCAGAATGGATGCTAGAATTTCAGTGCTGGATTTCTCATGTTGTTTGACAGGCAGTACTGTTAATAGGTAATCTACAAACTGTGTACCTTTTCTCACAAGACACTGTAACAGGGAAAGGGAATTTGCGTTGCTAATTATGACCCTCTTTCATTTACCTAGGACTAAGCCATTTTCTTGCAGTTCCATTCCTAATTGCACCTCTGCATTATCTTTTAAGGCAGTGGCCCCAACCTTTTGGGCGCTAGGGACTGGTTCTGTGGAGGTTTTTCTGTGGACTGGAGGAGGCGTGGTTTCATGTGCTGTCTGCATCCCGTGGATAGGGTTTTGCTTGTTTGCATGGCCTGGTTGCTGGCGTGCCACAGACCGATGCCATCCTTGGTCCGAGACCTGTTTTAAGGCATTTGATGTTCTGAAGTTGAGAGTTTATCTTCATTTAATACAATTCAGGTGGTGTACATATTGTTCCTGCTTCCTGTTTTTCTCACCACAGCCTGGTGAGGTGGGTTGGCCTGAAATTGTTTAACCATTTTTAATGTCTAAGGAAGGGCTGTCACTCAGTCTTCTGGTTTCCCATTTAATATCTTAACCACTACACCAAACTGGGTTGAGACATTAACAGCTTGAAATGAAAAGACTTTTGTGATGACATAGGATGGAAAACACTATTTAATTTTGATGTGGATATAAAGCAATAGAGTCCCACCGCAGAACTTACATTAATCAAATGTAACAGATTCCAATGGATACTCCCCTGGAAATGAGTAGAAAAAGACTTTTACTTGGTTCAAGATTCTGCTTCTAGATTTGCCATTTACTGGACTGGCATCCAGTAAAGTGAGCTGCTGCTTATGAAATGTTATGCCTTTTAATAAAATGTTTAGTTAGGTCCTGATCTTTGGCTAACATATCTCTCCCTCTATAAGATCTTTATTGAATTTTCTTTCTCTCCTTTTGTGACACAGATAACCTGCCTGTGACGAATGTTTACCTTAGTTTTTTATATATTTGAACTGACAGTCTATTAAGAGGGTTTATACTTCTGACTTCTAGCTAATGTTGATCTGCTTATCTGCAAAATGAAGAACTGTTACTTACAAAAGCAAACAAGAAATCAGCTACTCCTTTTAGACTTTTTCTGCACAAAACCTGTCTTAGACTCTCTAAAACCCGGGGTAATTATCCCAGGCAATGTTGACATATAGGCATGGATTTTATCAGCCTCTGGATCATGCTCTGCTCTTTAAGGGCTTTGCATTCAAGAGAATATGTGGTCCTTTTATTGAAGAAGCTAGAGTTTCTTTCCTTGCAAAATCAAGTCAACAACTGGAAAATGAGTGTATTCGGTTCAGCTTCATTGCTTCACATGAAATTTCTGTAGAGCTCCAGCAGACCTCCATGGATTACCAAAATGCACACAAGTCAGTATTGATATTGGCATTGGTGTTTTAATAAGTAATTCTCAGTTACACAGATACAGCAGCACACATGATGTTTCATTTACTATTTTTTTTCTAATTATTGTTTGGGTTTTTTCCACATAGCCTGAGAGCAATATGCTTAACATCTCCTCAAGTTCTGAATATTTTTTAGGATACAAGACTTTTTGAGTTCAATTCCTTAAACACCATCTTCAGGGGCAGAACAATAACATTTAAAGGTGGACAACTGAGATTGCTACATTTTTTCACAGACTGACTTTTCTCCCCAAACCTTGAGTTCAATGTAACCCACAATTTAGTTAATCACTACTGACTGGATTCATGCCACTAAACTAGATTCATGCAAACTAAACCATAAATCTTTATGTGTAAACCACACAGCAAACTTAGCCAAAATGTGGTTTCTTTGGCTTTGACCAAAGAATGACAGAATTCAGTTAAACAAAACATGATTTGCATAGAATGGACTGTACAATATATTAAGCCAAAATAGAAGAAAAGATTATGTGGTTGACTATATTCTTAGTTTATCTGATTTTATAGATTTGCTCAAGACAGTGTCTCCCATGTTGACTGAAGTACTGTAAAAATTGGTTGTCCAACATACCTGGAGGATACCCAGTCGGAAAAAGATATTATAAGGGTCAGATTAGGAGGTCACTCAGAGTAAGAGGCATTTTTTGTTACAGTTTGATTTTTTTTTATGTTTTGCAACTGCTCCAAAGTGTTCACAACATTTATTTTGCAAATGGAAACAAAATTAATTTGTGCAATAAGTCAATGAAAAGAAAGAGAGGACCTCTGGGTTAAAAATAAATGCATGATAATCCAATCCACTTATTATTTATCAGTTTCCCCATTGTCACTTTTTCCTCCCTGTCAGTATTTTACCCTACTTTATAAATCCTAGCTGAAACAGAGAAAAAAGTGATATTAAAAAGAAAACAGAAAAAAATGATATAAAAAGGAGATACTTTGCTAGAAACAATTTATAAACCTATACCTAATGATACTCAAACCTTGTATGTATAACATGTCAAAACAGAAAGTAAAAGATAACGTGTTTCTTTAATTGTGTTTAACTTGGGGGTTTCATAGATAGCCCATGTTTGACTTTTTGACAATATGGAAGTGATTTGCCATTGCCTTCTTCTGGTAATTCTTTTTGTTTTTTTAAAAAAAAATCTTCAAAACAAAATCTTTAAAACAAAATCTTTTTTAAAAAAATCTCTTTTTTTTACAGAATTTTCAAATTTCCATCTGTATCAAGGATTTAGACAGGCCATTAGCTTTTTTAAAAAGAGTTTACTTAGTTTTTTAAAGAGTTTCAAACATCTTTTATTTCTTGAACATAAAAAAGGTGAGTCTAATATATATATATAAGGCAAAGCAAAAAGCAAAAAGCAAAAAACAACGCATTTCCATGAAAATGTCTCTTGGGACAGTTAAAGTAAAACTACTGGGCCAGAAAGCTTTTAAGGAAATGTAGAGTCAGAAAGGACTATTGACTAGAGTCAGAAAAGAATACAGAAGGAACAACTGGGCCTAAAAATCTAGATCTACCCTGGTTGAGACTATCCAAGGTCGGGCAGGGACTGTCATCTATTGTGGCAGATCACAAGCTTACCAACTACTTTTGCAGCTATGATTTCATCCTCCATGGTTAAAATATGATTCACCATATCAGACAAACTGAGGAAAAACAGGTTGAGAAACCATGATTCTACCCCTTGTGAAAAACAGTTGCAGTGAACTAACTATGAAGGTAACTTGCTTCCCTAGAAAATTCTGATTTCTTAATTGATTACTTATGTTCTAAAAATATGTAGTTTCCAGTTGCTCTGTTTCTTTTTAAGGTCAGTTAAAAGGTAGCCTGTGCCATTTCCCCCCCTTCTTTTGGACAGACCCAGTTATTTTATTAGCTCCTGTCAAGAGAGTAGGAAGAGAAGGCTGTGAACAAAATAACACATAACACAATTAGGCTACCAAACCGGGGCTTCAAGAATACAGATGGTTTAAAAAAAAAAAGAGGTAGAATTTCCTCTTTTTACTTTTCTGCCACGGATTGGCTGCCCTGAGTGTTTTGTCTTTTAGTTAACTCCTCATTTCTAGGGACAAGCCGCCACCACAAGTTCCTCAGCGCTCCTTCGTTGCTTCACGCATCTGCTCCGTTCATTCACACCGCAGGCGAATTATTATATTATTATTACTATTACTATTATTGTTGTTGTTGTTTTTCCCTTTCCTTTTTCTTCGGGGAAAAAAGTAAAGCCCGGGAAAAGTAAAGCACACGGTTTAACCTCAGAGGCGGCGCTGAAGGTGGAAAAAGAGAAAGCGGTGCAAGCGGGGGTAATCCTTCTTCCAATAGCAAGATAATCGCCCATCTGCTCTTTTGCAATACCTGCCGGTCCGCTTACTTTCAAGATTAACTCTCCAGAAGGCAGTTTTAAGTTATTTCTCATATTCGGTCAAGTCATTCTCTCAGGCTGTCTTCTGGGCTCCATCGGCCCGGACGGTAAGTTCTTTTTTTCTTTTTAAATGAGGGGAAAAGAATTGAAATCTACTCGAACTCTATTCGGAAACAATGCAACCCACCCCCACCCCCACACGCGGCGCGCGCTCTGCGTCCCGTTCTCTCCCCCCCCCCCCCCCCCCCGCTGCCAAAGCGGCCGGGCGCGAGACCACAGACCCCGAACGCATCTCGCGCTTCCCACTCTCCCGGAAACCAGGCTGCTGAGGAAAAGATAGAGGATAGACGAAGGCGACCGCGGGGAAAGAGGGGTGGGGGGGAAGTGTTCCTTCCTCCGTTGATTGGTCCGCACTTCGGGCTCCCCGAGAGCCGTAAGCGGCGGCGATTGGCTGCTCCCGCCTGTCAGTCGCCGAGGGCCAAGTTCCATTGCTGTGGCTTGGGCGTGCGGTGGGAACTGCTGCTGCTGCTGCTGCTGCTGCCGCGGCGGCTGGTGCAGCTGCGGGGAGCTGGCTGGCTGCGGGGCTGCTTGATGGAGAAGTGATGCTGGCTACACGGAGAGTCGCGCAGCGCAGAGGCTGCGGGAAGACAAAGGCTGGCTACGGGAGCCGGAGCTCCGCTGAAGCCTCGGCGCCGCTAAACCAGGCGAAGGCAGCCCAGCCCCACCGGTAAAAGGTTAGCTCCGTGCACGTTACCCGCCTCTCGCTTTATGTGGGTGTGTGTGTATGTGTGTGTCTGTACGCGCGCGTGTACGCGACGGGTCGTATCCTTCAAAGCGGTGGTGCGTCCGTAGAGCCAGAAGGGCTGGACTGCCGGCGACGCAGGGCAGCGGGATCAGCTCCCTAAGGAAGGGGAAGCGTTGGGGTGAAGGAGCGGGGCGAGAGGACGCGGCTGAGGCGCCGGCCAGGGACTCGAGTCAGTAGTGACCGCTGCCGGCCATGTGCACCTGAAGGGTCCACCACCCCCCTCATCACACACACACACACACTTCCTCCAGCATTGTCTTCGGCTCCGATGCCCTTCAGGAAGCCTCGCTGCAGAGAAGCGAGAGCCAGGCGAGCGCCACCGCGGCGCCCAAAGCCCCAGGCGAAGCGAATCCACACCAAAATTATTATTATTATTATTATTATTATTATTATTATTATTATTATTAT